ACCTTCACATCTACTCTGAGAAAATGATTTGGCCAAGAAGAATACCAGATTGGAACTCTTATTAGGGGATCCTTGGGGCGTCAGATTCTTCACTCTACTTGTCATTGTTGGGTGGTTCAATTTACAGACTTCATTCCATGAAGGGACAACAGACATGAGAGGTCAGTGCATATCCTTTCTTCTCCCCAACTCTCTCCGTTGTGACAATTCCCTTAAAGCCATAGCTTCTTTAGGAAACAGACTTGGCGCAGATTCTATCAGCAAGTTTTGACTTCCCTGAGAATGAAAAAGGGGCTTCTTGACTTCAAATTACCCCTTCCTTGGCTTCTTTGCTAAACTTTCTGATAGTGATTATCAAATTAGTCTCGGTCTGTAGGAACAGATATACTGTCATCCTCTTTAGCAACATGTATGATTGTCGTGTAATGAGGCTAAAATCTTGAAACCAGGCTTTTACTCTGTGTCTAACCAAAGTTCTTTCTGTATTTCTCTGCCATCAGAGAGTGTAGGAGTCTTGGGTGGCACAAAACGTTAAGTGCTCAATTATGAGCCAGAAGGTTGGCAGTATGAGCCCACCTGATGATGCCTCCAAAGATTATCTAATATTCCCCCTGGTGGTCTGCTTCCAAGCACCCACCCCTCACAACCCAAGGAACCACTTCTTATCTGCACACATGAGGTCATCGTGAATCAACTGGGTGCCTTCTATAGACAATGAGTGTGTATCAACTGCTGTCTGTCAGCCCCCATTCGATGCCTCTCACACTTATTTCCACAGTGCTCTTATTTCTCAGAAGAGTATACTTCTTTTGTCGTTGCCCTGCTCTCTTCAACTGGATGGTAAGACTTTCTGGATGGAGAGAATGACTGTGAGGAAGTGACAGGTAGCTCCTCCCTAGCCAAGCACCTGATATTTGAAACTAGAAAGAAAGCAGGGGATGAACCCAAAGCAAGGAAGTCTTGTTCTCTGTCCTTGGATTTCTCTGTCAGAAACAGATTGAGAAGATGGTGAAAGAGGAAGTATGCGTAACATGATTTATAATTCAAAGAAGGAGCCGATGAACCAACCCAAAACCTAAGAATAAAGTTTCCTCCTTTTGTCTTTTAAGACCAGAGGAACTCTAGGAAAATATAGAAAAACTTAGTTATTTCTATGTAAAGAAAAGAGCTCTCTTTTCTTGAACCAACTGTACACAGAATTATTTAAAGGTCAAAGTGTAGAAATCAAAAGGATGAGGCCAGACTACAAATTAAATGAAATTTACCAACTCCAGGACTTAAAAAGTCCTTTCTTCAAGCCCTTGGTCCTTAACCATTGGCTACTTTTCTTCTGCGTGTTGCTGGGCTACAGAAGATTGGATTCTCTTTTACAGGGTCATTGGGGAAATCTATTTTAGGCAGAGAGTAAACATCACTTAGTACATTGTGAAGGTCCTTGATTTCACTACTGATTTTGACAACTGGTCATGATGACAGGCACCACATGCCAGCTTTACACTAATTGATCATGAGATCAGGTCCTTTCTTTCCATAAGAAAGATCCATTGCCCTAGAGAGGGATCTCCTATTTGAACTTCCTTCCATTTACAACTGTTTCTGCTGACCCCAGTATTGAGGGAGGGTGCAGGAAGGTAAGCGATTCTGGCTTCTGGATAGTGTTGACTATAAAGAAAGGAGCCTGTGAGGATAGAAGCTTAAAGGTCCATATTGAGGTTCTGTCTTGGAAGTAACTGGCATAATCTCAGCCTTGTAGCTCATGCCAATGGTCAATAAGACTTATGATACAGATGAAAGGTTCAAAAGGAAACAAAGTATTGAAAAAAGGGTGTGTGTGTGTGTGTGTGTGTGTGTGTGTGTGTACATGCGTGCATGTGTGTGCCCATGTATGTAGAGTCGATCTGGAGTCCAAATATCTATCTGTGGACCAAATGTGCAGCCAGAACCAGATATCAGTTAAGAAGGGTTCCCCTTCCAACGAATATAATCTTGGCACACAAGTAGAGTGTCAGAAATTCAGACAGAGAAGTCAAAGTTATTTTCATTTTCTAGAAGACTTGGATGCAACTGAAAAGGAACCAATAAATGCTGGATGGAGAAACATGAAGACATTCTTTTGTTTCTAGGCTCTAAGTTAACCTGGGTCTATCCAGCACACTTCTCTATTTTTTCATTAGTCATTTCATCAAATACAACACATCTTTACTGAGGGATTTTATATCTTTTAATTTCTAGCTTGCCCACATAAGTGCCAATGACTCATTTTAATGGCAGAGGGGACACTGGGAGCAGAAGAGACTACATGAATAAATGCTAGGTCCTAGTCTCTCTAAATTAGTCCTTTTCCGACTATCCTTGTCAAAATGTATTTTCAGGAAACAGCACCATGGGGGTGTTGTTCTAGGTAGATGTCAAAGGGCAGAAGATAGATTTCCACCATCACTATAAACTCCTTGCTTCCTCTCCTGTCCTGGCTGCTTCCTGCCATGGCTGCATTCACTCCACAGTAAGGGCAAGTCTGGTGGAAATCCTAGGTAGGGTGTGGGAAGGGTGGAGAAATGAGCCAGACCAAGAGCTGACTTTTAGATGGACAGTAGTTTTAGCCAAGTTGTTTTTCCTAGCCCCTGTCATCTGAGTATGGGTAGGGTAGTTATCAGAAGTGAGTTCTGCCCCCCAGCTAATTTCATGCTCTTGATGCCTCTTAACTAAGGAAATCAGTCAGGAAAGTTTGTGTCATGGGAAAGAACAGAAAAGCCAGCCCTCTTCCCTTCTGCAGGGGTTGCTGACGCTAGCTTAGGGACTAAAGAAGATAGCTGGTCAGAATGCCTCATTGTACCTCCTGGTGAAGGGCTGTTCTAGGAGAAATAACAAAGCAGAGAATTAGAGCAGAGCGGAAAGAGTCAAGACTGGAATAGGCATGTCCTGGTCACTCAAAGCAAGATGTGGTATGAATACACCCACTACATGATTTGGGGAAAATGGAAGGAAATGGAAGCGAACACAAGATATGCAAAACAGTAATGTCCAAACCTGTTTGTGGATAGTAGGACAAATGACTTACACTGGTGATATCTTTGCTCATTGTACAAATGAAAAGGGAATTATTCCCCTTTCCCCCGACCACATATAGAAAAGCACTTAAGATTTCAAAGGTAAAGCTTGTCACACTCCAAATACAAAATGATTTACTTTACATGCAGCAAAATATACAAGAAGTGAATTCAAAAACAAACTTACTTAATTATATTCGCTTGGCACAATTGCAATTCAGTTTTAAAAAAATATTTGAAAAATACTGAAACTGACCTGAATTCAAGTATAACAGTTTCTTCAACAGAAACATTATCAATGCAATAAAACATTACACGGAATATATTGAAGCAAAATGCCTTCTTGAGTTTTTCCCTTAAATTTCTGCGTGTTTTTTTTAATACAGTTTTAATGCCAACACAACTCACAATTTTATTTTTTTTAAAATGAATATTATTGCATTGTTTTTGCATATCTTGTGGGACAGAAAATGCAAAGAGTTACTGATTCCCATTTCAGAAGCAGAGACAGTGGTTTGTTTTTTTGCTTTCAAATGGCCCCAGATTCAGGTCTCCCCACAGTTAAACCAGAAAGGGGAACTGTGTTTGCATTTGTGTGCATGGGTACACTGTGTGGGTGCATATACACACACACAACATATGCACACAGCCAGTCCCCCTGGGACGCTCGCACGCATGACACAGGCACACACGCACACACAGATGCTCGCACCGTCTATGCTTCCTCTCTCTGACACCCACCAACACACCCAGCATTAATAGAAACCCAACTCATACACCCATTATGTGCAAGACTGTTATCAAGTGCATTATCTATTACTTTAAAATATGAAACCAAACCAAAGAAACAAACAAAAGAGCTGTTACTACCTATAGAAATTGTAACAAATTATTGGGCATACAAAACGGCTGGTAAAACTCTCCTACACTGGCTGTGATCGAATGGATCGCATCCTCTGTAGGCATAAAAAGGGAAATCATAATGGTTTAAATAATACAGTAAAATCAAACCTGATTTACATTTGCAAAAGTGAAAACAGTAAAGTGGTGGATATAAAACTTTGTAAACACTCTACTTCCTCCACATCCCCTGGGAAAATAAAAGTAAAACAAAGCCAAAACTGATAAGACAGGAAAACTGAAACATGCTGTCAAGAAAAAATGTCAAATCTCTAAACACAAGAGCGCTCAACAGAAGTTCAGCACCACCTTGCTTGGCCGAGGGCTAGCAGCCCCTCCCCTGGTGGCAGGGCCAGCTCCTCCCACACCCAGCTGGGGCCCCAGATGCAGCTCTGGCGCTCCCCTCGAGCGAGCGGCTTGTGCAGGTAAAGGAGACCCCGACTCAGGTGAGCTCTGGGCGAGAGGCTGCAGCCTGCCCTGTGCCCAGCCCTCCATGCTGGCTCCAGGGCATCTCAGGCCACTTCTCCTTCTCAGGGTCAGGACTGGGTCACCCCCAGAAGTCACGTCCCCATGTCATTCTCCACATCCACAGGGCCCTAGCTCTATGGAGACAGTGAGGCTCATACAGAATATGTGCAAAATGAATTTTTTTTTACAAGCAAAGTTGAAAGACACCCGTTTGATATAGGGTCCTTTTGGTGAGGGCTACCACAGGAAGCCGAGGTTCTCTTTCATGCCCAAAGGCGACTGTTGGTTCCTTGAGCAGGGCCTGGACATGGTGAGAGGGCGGCTTCTCCTCTTGCTCCCCTCCCTGACTCTGCCACCTCCTCCTCACCACTCTACCTCTGGGGACACAAACTGGGGTTGCTGCTTTTCGTCCCCTCGGAAAAGCTGGCTCTCCTCACCACCCAACTCTGCGTCTTGTCCCAACAGAAATGAATGAAGACGCTGTTCCGGTTAACTCCAGGTCACGAGAACAGTGAGGCACTTCTGAAACGAACCCATTAGGAACATTGAAACAAATAAAAAAACCCAGCATTTCTCCAGCCCTGGCTACTCCAGGCTGCTGACATAGACCCTGCTGTCCTGGAGTTCCTCCTCACTCTGCCGACATTCCAGGGCAGGCCCGCAGGTCGCATCCTCCTCGCCCGCAGCTCTGTCCTGCCCTGGGTCCCTGCAGTTAACAAAAGGTAAGAGGGTGCCGTTGGGGCTCTGCTGGGTGCCCCCACTGAGGATGTTGTCAGCCGCATTTTCCATCTCCTCAATTGTCATGTCGCAGGCATCAGCCAGCTCCTGGGTGGTGACCTCAATAAACTTGGGATCTTGAGCAAACTGCCCCAGTCCTTCGGAAATCAAGACCTGAAGAGGGGAGAGGGTAGAGGGCCATGAAAAGAAAACAAGAGGAAAATTACTGAAATGCAGCAGTTCTTTTTAGGCTTGAACATACGGCTTCTGACTGATACAGTCTGGGAATGGGCATGTGTATGCATGTATGGTGTGTCGCCTCTGGTGTGTGTTGTGGAAGTTGTTGAACGTCCCATGGACTTTCAAAAAGAATAAACAAGTCCATTTTGGACGAGGTGCAAGTAGGGTGCTCCTTGGAGGCAAGGATGGTGAGACTTCATCTCACATACTTTGGGCATGTTGTCAGGGGTGACCAGCCCCTGGAGAAAGACATCATGCTTGGAAAGGTGCAAGGTCAGAGAAAGGAAGACCCTCAACATGATGGATTGGCAGTGACTGTGACAATGGACATGAGAGGGTGAGGAGGACAAAGGGCAAGTTTCAGCTCTATTGTTCATAGAGTCAGTACGCATTCTAGTCAATTCCACAGCACCTAAAACAACAACAACAACAGTGTATATTTGGTAAGTGTGCTGTTGTGTGTGTGACTTGTATAGTGTAGGTGTTGGGAAGGGTGTTCACAGAAAAAGGTAAAGATGGAGTAATGAGTAAAGGAAACAAACGTGTGTGAGGGGATCCTAGGTTGGTGCAAAAGTTTAATGTACTCTGTTGCTCATTAAAAGTTCAGATTGCTGTTGACTGTCCTTGAGTCAGAACCATCTCATGGTGGACCCACCAGCAAGTTTTCAGAGGCAGTAACTCTCATGTACTGTCTATCTTTCTCCGTTAAGCAATTGGTGGATTTGAACCATGTACCTTCAGGGCAATACAACTGCTTACCATTAGGCCACCAGAGCTCCCCACAGACTAGCAAAATGCATTTTTTATTAGTACTTGAGGATAGTAATGAATTTTAGATGCAAAAATGATTCCACAATTTATAAAATATTGCATTAAATGTTATAAAGAGAGTCTTTACTATTATGTTTCTTGAAGACTCTGCTATTCAGTTTGTTAAATTCAAGAAGCATAACATAAATAACTATCAAAAAAAAAGCTTAGAGGTCTGAGTCCACTCAGAGATGATTCAAAAGAAAGACTTGGCCATCTACTTAAAAAAACCCCCAAAACTCCAACCACTGCAACCGCTCAGGCCTTCTCTGAAACAGCACGTGGGTTTAGGTTTCAGAGAAGTTTAGGTAAGAGTGGTTTTGGGAGGGTGTTACAAAAATTCAAGCCAACACATAAAGCTTGGCTCACAGAGGGGCAGGGCTGCTGTCAGGGTCATGGGAGATCCCAGCCTGGCCTTCTCCTTCTTGAGGTACCGCCCATAACATTCTCACCCAGAAACCTCCACTTGCCTTTGGTCAAACACTTAACTTATGCCCACTGCTAGCTGGCAGACTTTGTGAAGTGAGACTCCTTCCTCCAGGGGAGTAGCTTCCACTCACCTGTCTCTTTTTCTGCTTGGAAGGACCAGCAGATGACCCTCAAAGTTGCCCCACTCCTCATATGTGTTGCTTTAATGATCAGCTACTGAGTGGGGTGCTACGGGGACAATTCATGGTTGCCTGGAACATGCCTCCCCCACATATCTGTTTACTTCCCTACCCCCGCTATTATCTATTTGTCCTGCTTCGTTTTTCTTCATAGCACCCACACCCTCCTGATATGTTCAACAGCAACTGGTGGCCATTAAGTCTATTCTCATAGTAATCTCAGTGTAGGACTTCAGTGGCTCATTTTATCATAAGTAGATCACCAGGCCTCTCTTCTGAGGAACAGTGGGTGGACTCAACCTCCAAACTTTCATTTAGCAGCCAAACAAGCTAACCCTTTGCCCCACCCTGACTCCTTGTGTGTTTATTGCCTGTCTGCCCTCACCGTAGGCGCAGAAGAGCAAAGGTTGTCAGTGTTTCTCAGCACTGTGCCTGCCGCTAGACAGGGCTGACATGGGAGAGACTCAGGGATGGGACGCGAAGCGTCACAGAGTGAGAGGGTGGTTTAACTGGCCACCTCCTCTCTCAACAGAAGCCGATAGCACATTTCCGCATCATTTTTTTTCCTGCGTTCCATGCCTGCCTTCTGCAGGCCTGAGACTGAGGGTCTTTCTGACTAAAGGGCTTGTATAGCTAATCTCTGAGTGAAGGGGAGTCACATACCGCTTCCACCAGACTGCTGGCACTGCCATGGAACTGCCTCCCCGGCGCCCCGGTCTGGCTGGGCACAGTGAGGGAAACAGGCCGGGCTCTCCGGATGGTGCTGCTACCCCCACCACCGGGACTCTCCTCAGACCAGGAGCTGCAGTGGATGGTCGGAAAGCTGCTGTTGAGTTTCTCGCTGGACTCGGAGCCTTCCAGCCGCAGGGTGGGGATGGACTGTGGGGGCCAACCGTGGTTGCCACGGGGTGTGGAAGGGGGTGTGGCACAGGGCCTGGGGAACATGGAGGGGGAATGGCTTCTCTGGAGAAGGGGGCTCAGGCCCGCCACTGCCAACGCCTGTGGACACACAAGAACATGAGTTACTAGTCTCTGTCTTCCAAGCAGCTATTTCCCCCAACTTGTTCCACCTGGAATTCACACTCTCTGCCATCATTACCACCTAATCTGAATCCTACCCCAAGACCCAGCAGGAGTTTCAGGGATCCCAGAAAATGTTTTGTGATGGTCCCAGCCGGAAGTGTTATTCTGTCTCCACATTTAGAATACAGAGGGGATTCATGATAATCTGGGCTCTAGTGCTGGTTTTACCACCTACCCATTCTCACAGTGTTGGTATTCTCATCAGTAGAGTAGAAGGAATAATGAACTCAGTGTCACCTCTAAAAAGGAAGCCCCATGCCTTCTCAATAGATCTTGCAGCATAAAGGGAGATTCAAGTGAAAAAAGGAGTGTGAAAAAGGACATTCTAAAGAGCTGGCACAGTAGGGATGATTGTGAGGATGACGCGGGACCAGGAGCCATTCTGTTCCATTGTACATGGGGTCACTCCGAGTTGGAACCTAACAACAGCGACAGAGCTAGACAAAACGTGTTTCAGTCGTTTTAACCCCGACAGTGAGCGAACACATTAATACTGTCCTGACGCTTTCCAGTCCTCCTTATCCTGAACCACCAGTGAAAGCTTGAAAATAATAATAAAAAAAAGAGAAAAGAAAGAAAAGAAAAAAAAAAAGAAAGAAAATGAAACAATATCCAAGTTTCTATGTTTCTGCTCCCAAATGTTTCTTTAAGCATCCTGAGGTCAGGGATCAAGTTCTACATCTCAGCTGCCACAAAGGCTTGCTCTTAGCAGAGGCTCTGGAACATGAGCTGATCTGATGGGCAGAGAAAGCTAGACGTTGCCACGTGGTGGCAGAGAGAATGGGGACACTGCTGTAGAGGCTGGCAGGCAGCAGGAAGCAAGAAGGAGAAGTATAATGAAGAGTATGATAAAGACAGGTTGGTAAGATCCATAGAACACACTGCCATCTTCCTCAGCCTCTTGATGGCCTATGTCTCGGGTGCCTGCATCCCTGGAGATCTGAGAGGGTGTAAGAGGCAGTGTGTAGACTACATTGAATATTTCAGAACTTCCTGTGGAAATCATATTGCAGGTACTTCACAAAGGTGAAACAAAACTGCGTTTCTCTGAGCTGAAAAAAGAACCACTACCATCATATACTTATTGTAAATCTTGATTGGCCATTGGATGTCTCTGAATTTAAAAAAGTCATGTGAAGTGCAGGTTCACAGTAAGGGAATTTATAATTAGGGAGCTGCAAAGCTAGGAGAACTTGTTAAAGGATTTAGACTGCTTCGGCTAACTATCCCCCCCCCATAGGTTTTCATTCATTCAGTCATATGCATTTGTTTTATAACATTAATTACAATTGGACAATGCCATTATTTACAAAGTCGTATCGAATCCTAACCATACCCTCCCTTTCTCTTCATCCTTTTTCCATCAGCTAACTTTTTTTTTTAAATTTTATTTTATTTTTTTGTGTGTGTACCGTCAAATCAGATCTGACTGGTACAGGAGGAGATTGTCCCTCCTTCTCCAGCAGAGCATCTTTGGACTCGAACTGCATACCTCTGGGATTGCAGTACAGCTTCTTGCCACTAGGCCACCAGAGCTCCCTCCATCAGATAACTCTTGAAGCTTCTCCTCATACTGAGGCACTAAGAACATGCTTGATTCTGGGGGCTTGGGTTTCAATATCTCAGCAGGACTCCACCATGCCAAGAGATCATTCATCTATGGAATCTCCATGAACCTGTTTCGTTGGGTTTCAATCCCTAATCCTGTCACAATGTTGGTAGGTTCTTTGATCATTTCTGCTTATCAGTGGGTGGGGTTTGGTGTGGCTGAATTTCTAGGTGTGACTCCATGGGGCTGAGGGCTCTGGGGTCTAAGCCAGCCTCTAGGAGGGAACATGTGAGGCGCTGTGAGAAGAAAGCTTAGGCAGAATCCTGGATTTGCCCATCCTGCTCCCAGTGTCTCCTAGTTTCTACCCCAGGAAATGATAATGTCGGAGCTCTCACCTGAATGGGACGTGTGGACAGCCGACTGGGGGGCTCTCAGGGCCAGGGGTGGGACACAGCAAAGGCTGAGATGGTGAAGACTGACTAGAATCTTAGGGATTAGCCGGCAACAATGGGATTGTCCCGGCTGCTAAGTGGAGACCAATGACTTGTGCAAAGAAGAGACTACCTGATGATGAACAAGATGCAGGGGCAACACTGTCTTCTGAGAGATGTCTCCCCCTTGATTCTTCTGCCTCTTCAGACATTCCAGGTGGAAGGAGGCCCTTCGACCTGCAAAGCCAGCCAAAGAGCAGGTCAGAGCAAGAAACGAGAACACGTGTCTGAAATGGCTGATACCTGGGTAAGGTGCAAGGAGTGTAAGTGACTCTAGATATACCTCCTCTTGCCTTCGTCCTGTCTCCAACCCCCACTATGAAGGATATCTCCAAGGCCCATCCCAGCAAACCCACCATTGGGACTCTCTTTTCATCTTGGAACTCTGCCCGCCCATCTGTGTGGAGGCCCTTGGAGCCAGGACACCACTGTCCCCGAGTCATCCCTGAACACCTTGACCAGCATCATCTCAGGGGCACCACTGACCACATCAGGAGTGAGGTGTGGATGCTTCTTACCTAGTGAGGCGGAGCGGAGGAAACCCTTCTTCGGGGATTGTCGGGTGTCCCTCTTATCCTCCTCTGGGGGCGTCAATTGTCGATTTTCATCATCCTGATAGGAAAGCCTGGAACATAGAACTCCGGGGCTTGTTCCTGGGGGCCAGGAAGCAACTCCCCACAGGTCGGCCACCATCCCAGGGAGACATTTGCCTCTTCTCTTATTTAAAGGAACCTACACTTGTATTTATTCAAAGCGCTGGAGAGGGAGAGAAAGGACCTCGCCAATCTGAGCAATTCTGTACTGCCATCTCCCATCCAAAGTGTTCTGGTCTGCTTGCTGGAGTTTTTAGTTCTTCATACACTGCCTGTCTCATGTGAATACAGGGTTCTTATCTGAAGCACAAAAGGGACTCTTGGATCCAACTCATTAAGGATTCCAGACTCACAAACTGTCAAAAGATGTCAGGTTCTTTCAAGGAACAGCCTAGGCTCTACTGTTTACACACACTACCCATGCCATTTACCACATCTATTCCTGCAGAAGATTATCCAGAAATTACTGGAACAGTACATTGACAAAGAACCACCAGAAATACAAGCGGGGTTTAGAACAGGTTGTGGCACTTGGCAGAAAGCAAAAAGTACCACAGGAATGTCTGTGTTTCATTGACTATGCAAAGGAGTTATACTGTGCAGACTACTACAAACTGTGGTTAACCTTGAGGAGGATAAAAATCCTAGAACACTTGATTGTTCTTATGTGAAACCTAAACATGGAACAGGAGGCAGTTGTCAGAACAGAGCAAGGAAATACTACATGGGTCAAAATCAGGAAAGGAGTGTGTCAGTGATGCATCCTGTTTCCATACATTTTCCAATTTATATGCAGAACAGATCATTTGGGAGGCTGGTCTTTATGAGGAAGAATGTGGTGTCATGATTGGAGGAAGATTCATCAACAATCTACGTTATGCAGATGACGCAACCTTGCTTGCTGAAACTGAGGAGTACCTGATGTGCTTGCTAAAGGAGGTCAAGGACTATAGTCTTCAATATGGATTGAAGACAATGATTTTCATGCTTGAAAGGGTGGAGAGACAGTGAAGGAAAGGAAGATCCCAGATGACACAGATTGATACTGGGGAAATGTGGGTAGATGTGTCACAGGCAGTGAGACAGGCTCAGGACAGAGCAGGCTTCAGAGCTGTTGTACATAAGGTCACTATGAGTCGCAGGCGACTCAATGACACATAACAATAACAACAACAACAACAACAACAATCTTGCTTTGGACTCTGTGGATGGTGCAAATAGTTAAGTGCTGGGCTGATAACCAAGATGCTGGATGTTCACGGGGAGGGGAAATATAAGAAAATCTGATGATCTACTTCTGAAAGATCACTCAATAATCACTGCCATGGAGTCAGTTAGGACTCATAGCAACCCTACAGGATAGAGTAGAACTGTTCCAAAAGGCTCACGGGGCTGTGGTCGTGAGGAGAAGAGAAACAGATGGCTTGGATGGAACCATGCTTCCATGAGAAGACATTACTCCATCATTCTCCTGACATGTGGGCAAAGTGTCATTTTTTCCTTTCAGTTGTTGTTATTAAGTGCTATTGAGTTGTAGATGATTCATAGTGATCCTATGAACGAAAGACCTGAACACTTGTAAAACTTTAGTTTCTCCAAGTTCATAGAGTTTCCAGAGGCAAGTTATTTCAGAAGTGGATGCTGCTCCTGCTTCCAAGCTGGTTTTAATTGGGGAGCTCCACCAAACACTATCCACCATGGGTAACCATTATCACATTTGACACATGAGTGTCACAGTGTTCAGCATCACAGCAACCACGAGTTACCTCTGTACAGCAAATGGACAGACCAGTGCTGTACCACTTAGAAGACAGTTTGACACTGCACCACCAAGGTTCCTGGAAAGAGCACAAACACTGAAAACCCTATGGAGCACAAATCTACTCTGAAGCATATAGTTGCTGTGAGTTGAAATCTACTCCAGGGCAACTTCCTACTTCAGTCTAAACTTAACTCCCACCCTAAATCCACTAATGAAATCTTACAGATCACAATGGTCCAGACATCAACCAATGGAGAGATCATACCCAAGGCCAACTAACAACAAAAGAAAATATCTACAAAGATAGTGAACTGTCTGTATGAAATATTATATATGAAATAAAAAAAATAACAGCTAGAACAGTACATAGATAGAGAACTGCTGGAAGTTCAAGCAAGATTTAGAAGAGACTATGGCAACAGGAATATAATTGCTGATGTCAGATGGATCTTGACTGAAAGTAAGGAATACACTATCGTTACTGTTATATTTTTCTTGATTATAGATACTGTACAGGCTTAGCTTTTGCATAGGAGAGAATCCACGTGTTATTTCTAGGAATCATATTGCTCAACTGGAAAAAAAACCCAACCAAACAATCCTGCCAAAAAAAAAACCCACAAAAAACTTCCACCCTGCAATCCTTCGCTGCCCTGTCATCAAGAGTGCATAAAGATGTTGCCTGCAACAGACACACTGTGTGCATGGAAATACAAGGCTTCCTGACGTGTGGAAGAAGTAGCCATGTATTAATTTTCATTCTCTGAAAATCAATTAAGAAAATGTGATCCCTTGAGGAATTTCAGCTATTTACTCTAGTTTTACATTGACTGTATTTCATGAACTAAAAACAACTCAAAATCATTTCTGTTGAGTCAGAACTGACTCCTAGCTGACCTTCCAGTTGGTGTCCAAGGCTGTAACTTATGCTATAGGAATTTGCTTGGTTTTCTCTATATGGATTATGCTGCCTATGTGCTGGGACAGTGGTTAAGGGCTTGACTAATAACTGAAAATCAGCGAACTATGAGCTACTCTACGGAAGAAAGCCAAGGGAGTCTGTTTCCATAAAGATTTATGGCTTTGGAAACCCTAAGGGGAAGTTCTACACTGGGTGGCTGAGTAAGAACTGACTTAATTGAACCTGGTAACAACAGTCTCTTAATTACACAGAGGGAAGGAAGACTCATTTTCTTTCCTTCCAAGCCAAGGAAAAAACCCTTGATGCCAGAAGGCCACTGTGCTGGTTATGCTGGTGGAAGCATGTCTCCAGATACTGCGGGCCCACTCTCACCACTGCCATCTGCCACAACTCCCTCTCCTGCCATACATTTCTCCAACAGTCCTAAGAGCTGGTCATTCCTTACTATAACCTGTTTCAAGGAAACTCCCTAACACAGTGTTCCTTAAACTTTTTGGATTGCAACTCTAGTCATAAATATGTTTCACACTGAATCTCAGTACACATATACAGGTCCTGACAATTAAACACATGTTATATGAAACAATACTTAACCTTAGTGACATTTGATATAATTTGATATTTTCTATGCCTGTCTTTTACTGTATTTTATGTTATTCTTTTTAAAATGTTGATTAGAACTGGCTAAATGAATGTCACACCTTGTTCATGAATCAGAGATCTGCAATTAAAATACCTTACACTTAGAAAATTCACATTTTAGTGTTGAGAAAAATCTCAGCTGTACATTTGTCAACAGTGCCCTCTGCTGGGCAGCTAAGTGATAAATGGTTTTGGAAAACATTTGGTTGGTTGTCAATGTATGTGTAGGAGCCTCTGGTGGCCTCGTGGGAAGAAGTAGGCCTTGCAATTGCAAAGGCCTACGGTTTGAACCTGCCAGCCACTCTGTGGGAGAAAGATGGGCCTCTGAAAACCTGTTGGTTCCAAATGGTACATTATAGCAACAACCTGGAGCCCTGGGGTCAGCAAAGGGTCGGTTTCAACTCGATGATAACAACAACACATGTATAGTACATCTCTATTATGGAGCTGTAAGAAGTTGCACTGCCAACCTGAAGATATACTGTCTGAATCCACCAGCAGCTGTACAGGAGAAAGATGGACAGAAAACCCGCTAAAGGGCCAGCTGTGGTTGGTTCCAAACTATTGGTATAGAACAACAACAATAACAACCTGAACTCCTGGGGTCTAATGGTTTGGGCAGTTTGAACCGATCAGCTGCTCTGTGGGAGAAAGAAGAATCAGTCTGTTTCAATAAAGATTTACAGCCTTGGCAACCCAACAGAGGGTCAAGGTTTACGTGAGTCAGAACTGACGGCACTGAGCTTTGGTTTTAGATGTATTTCCTAGTGAAATCTATTTGTCTTATGCTTTTAAGAAATTGATTTCTAGATCTTCTTGAAAAAGTTATACTAAGAAAGGAGGATTCAGATAACGGTAGTATGAGAGAGACAGAAAAAAAGGCATTGACAGACTGAGACAGAAAGAAGAGAGAGAGGAAATACTGGGGAGAGGTGTTGGGATTGAGGCTTCCCATCTCCCAGATGAGGTGGTAGATTCTTTGTGGATATTTTCTGGACACGTTATTCACACCTCCAAACTATGTTGAAAAGGCAATTTTAGGGACCCGCCCCTTCCTTCCCAGGGCAGGAGGCTGAGCTCACATCTCTGTGGAGACCAGGCTGGGCTCGCTGCAGTACTCCGTGTCTTCTGTTATCTTCACCTCATAGGTCTCCTCCGGAGAGACCTCCTCCTGACACACCACGGACATCTGGCTCTCCCGGGAGTGGCACCTACATGTCCGAGATGGAGAACAAGATCAGAAACTACAAAGCTTTCCTCTCTCTCAGCATCTCGCACCGCCCCCCCCCAACCCCCCCGACTGTGTCCTCATCTACCTGCAATCTCTGCTGAAGCCATGGAGCCATGGAAGTGTGAGGGTGGAGGTTCCATGTGGGAGAAGGTTCTCTGAGTCAGGATCAAAGGCTTCCTGAATCCTGACCCAATTCACTTACTCCCTGGGTTTGTAATCCCGCTCAAGTGGTCTATACCACTTGGTGCTTCAGTTTGCCCTTGTATAAAGTTGAGATGATTTACACTGTGCCTGACACAGAGGCTCGTGTGAGTAATGAATGAAGTAACAGAAGGTGGTGCTGAAGATGGAAAGGATCTGCTTTCAAAGAAGAGCTGGGGCTGCACAAGAGAGTGGGCTGGGCCAGTGAGAGGGCTGTCTCTCCTCTACACAGCTGGCCCTGTGGGTGTTTGCTGGCAGAGCCAAAATGTTTCTGGGATCGTATGTGACATGCCCTTGCCCTTGAGTCTGACACTGACTGCTGGAGTAAAGGTAAAGCCTTACATAAAAAGGTTCTTCTGAGCAGGGAGAGGTGACTCTGAACTCCTATTGAGTTTGAGACCCTCCCACACCAGGAGGTGCCTTAACCATCCGAAACATGGCCTTCTGCTCATCTGGTCATGTCTCCTTTAACTGTGATCTAAGCGTTCTTCTGTTTGGACTTAGCTCATTATCTTAATCTTTTTTCTTAACTCTGCCAGCTGGGCCAACTCTACCCTCAGATCCATGAGGTTATGGGGAAATTATCCAAGTTTACTCTCTTGAGATCAGTGTCCCAGCATTGACCCTGGGCCTGTGCACAACTCAGAATAGAGAAGCGAGGCAGCAATCTCTGGGGGAGATTGTTGTCCACCCATGGCCAGAAGGAAAGATGGGCAGAGAAGGCTCATGATGGTGTAGGAGGACAGGAGGTGGAAGGAGTTGTAGGGACCATGATGGGATGAGCTGGAGATGGAGAATGGCAGCAGGCAGGCTGCACCACTTCTTGGGGACTGGTTGTTGCCAGCTGTGCTGGTCCATTCCCAGCAGATGCAGGGCCAGCGCTGGAGTCACCAGGCTCAGCCTTCAGCTGCAGCATGAAGGACGAGGCCCCAGGGCTAGAGCTTTGGTCAGTTTCCCTCTTCAGCAAGTGGAACCTTAGCACCTTGAGTTCTGACCAATTGCCATGGAAAGGAACTGACATTTAACAATGCTTCCTATGGATCAGACACTGTGCTAGGTGCTTTGCTTAATTTCAATTTCAGCCGCAGAGGTATTTGCTGGGAGAAGAAAATTGCCTGTTGTCTTCTATATAAAGCGAAACAACCCACCTGAACCAGTTCCCAACAAGTGGATCCTGCCTCATGGCAACCCCATGTGTGCTGGAGTAGAACCACGCTCCATAGCGCTTTACTATTTAATACAGAACCAAATGGAATAGAAAAATAGCCTTTTAAGGAGGGCATTTCATTTACGTGGAGATGTTAATAATGGACATAAACAGCTTTCCTTGAGAGGCAGGTTTGATAAGTAGAGCAGAAAGTGGTACTAGGTCAGGGTCCCTGAAGGTAGTAGAAGCAACATAGGTTTGCAAAAAAGGGATGAGGACCCCAGCACAGGCCATTTAAATGCCACCATGCTCCTATGCAAAGCCAGCCTTTCTGATTCACACAAATCCCAGTGCTGAACACAGTTCCCGGCTCATAGAAAGCAACACTGTCTCCATATACTTTTCTATGAGTCAGAGGATTCAACTCAGTGCTGCCAGTGGATGGTTAAAGCAGCTAGTCTTCCAGAGAGTAAGGTGAATGGATGGCCAATTTGTCTTGCCTTTGACAGATACTTAAATTTCCAGGCCAGGGCGGCTTCTGTGTGATCTCTTGAAAAGTACTTAAATTAAGGGAAGTGACAAGAATGTTGACTCCTTGAATGGATGCCGCATCAGGACACTTGTCCAAGGATTTAGAAAGAAACTCGCACCTTTTGATTCTTTGTTGAGAACTACAGGGTAGGAAGAAAGACCTGCCCAAGAACTTGGTCTTCTGGGGACCTGTCTGTCCTGCCCTGGAGTGTGTCCTACTCTGGAAGAACAGCAGAGTTCAGGGTGATGTGGAGAGATGCAGCAGTGTCCTCTCCCATCCCACTCGGGGAGCCCAGAGCTGCTGACATAATGGGGATGAAACCCTCTTTAGCTCAAGATGCACTTCCTGAGACTCAGAGTGTGGAAGGAAGTACCTACCGTCCCAGCACATCATAGCAATACATCCTAGAGCACCAGAGAATAGGATGGGGGGAAAGAAAGAGCAAGTCAGGAGGTGGGGATGCCCTCAGACCTCCAGGAATGATCTTACACAGGGGCAGAATGGGCAAGTGCTGCAGAGAAGGGCCACCTGCCACCAGAATACCTCCTCCCTAGGAGGTTATAAAGAAGAGGTGGTGATAGCAATTTGTGCATAACTGGGAGAAAGGTGAGGCAGAAACTTGGGAGGGGTGGAGGGAATGGTTCCTGTTGGATGTCCAGAATACAGATATCTCAGAGAGCCAACCATTCTCAGAAGAACGGTTCTTCTACTCAAGTGGGAGGTGAGAGGATACGAGGCTGTAATCAGGGGCCAGTCAACTCCTGACACTCTCGGTCAGTAGGGTGAGGCTGGCTTCCTCTGAGCATGGCTGCTACCTTCAATTCAAGACCAAATTCAGGAGGCAGCACAGTGTCACCTCCGTCTCAGACATCGAGAGCTGCAGCCTCCATTCCCAATTTGAGGCATAAGTGGTAGGTCTGGGGGCCAAACTCTCCTCCCCCCGCATCTGCCCTGGGACAGAGTGCAGGACCATGTGTGGGGCCCTGGACTTTCCCCACCCTCCAGCTTACCTCTTGGAGCTGAGCTTCCATGTTGGCTCCTGCACCCGGATGGCAGGAGATAAAGGGGGCCCATGGCCCTCCACAGTGCTGACCGTGCTGGGGTAGCCGGTGGGGCGGGGAAAGCGGCCCAGGGCAGTGTTGTTGGCATTGTTGATGTTGGCGTTGGAGCCAGTGGATGAGTAGCTGCTGGGGGTGAAAGTGGAGTCCACCAGTTTCTCGTGGGAAGGCGACTCAGTGTCACCTTGGCTGTTACCCGCCTTGTTGATGTGCAGCGGGCGCTGGGTGGTGAAGGTCTGGGGGAAGGCGCTCCGGCCGTCACTTTGGTAGTAGTTGACATGGTTGCCGAACAGGCCACCGGCCCTCTGCAGGCAAGACGGGATGGGGTAGGTGGAGGAGAACGTGCCCTTAGCTCCCCCTTCTCTGAGGGAGAATCCTCAATGGGTCAGGGCAGAGAGGTCCAGGGTACAGGAATTTTGTCTGCTCTCCAGAGAGGCAGCACTGTGCCAGGGAACACATGGGAGATGGTGAAATTCTCCATCCGCACGGCGTGGCAGCCCAGGAGAGGAAGGGACCCAGACTCTCAGGACATCCCACCTCCCCTCTGAAACAGCGTGGGGGATTCTAGGGACAGGACTACCACATCATGGGAACTGGACCAGGTAAGGATGCTGCTGAGTAGAAAAGGTGCCCCAGAAGTTTCTAACAAACCCCTTGAAGACTGGAATGGAATTTTCAGGATGGATCTAGGATGGCAATCCTTAACTGCAACCTAGAGCTTGGTTTAACAGAGAACACTGAGAGGGTCAAGGAGAGGGGAAAGTAACCAGCAGATTCTAACTCAATTTAAAAAAGAAAAGGGAATTCAATTGGCTCACAGAGCTTAAACTATGTTGACCAAACAGTTCTGAGGCTAAGAATGAAGACCTAGATACATCACTTAGGTTTTGTCCCCCTTTCCCCTAGGAGATTCTTAGAGTGTTCAAATCAAGAGCCAGTGTTTTCTCTAACACTTCTTCCTCATTCAGGCAAGTCGGCTAGTAGCTTTTTCCATGGTCTAATCCTAACATGAGAGGCCCTGTGGGCTTTAGTGAAGGGGTATTTTCAAACCAGACAAAATTTCTGTCTGAGTTCCTGTCCCAATGTTATTATCACGGTGCCATGTCCTGGGGCCATTCCATGATGAGTACTTATGGTGATGAGAATGAGGATGAGAATGAGAGGACAGTCAGAGGTGGGCTGGGGCTCATTTCACCTCCCTGGGTTTTCTGCAACCTGGGAAGAACAGGACATGGGGTGAAGGAGACTGGAGGGTTACGTATGAATGGGGCTTTGGTACATTGTGGCAAGTAGCTTCTTCCTTGCTATGGGAAGACATTTTTAACCAAATAATTTCAGGGGTTAGTGAGAGCATGCAAATGAGTGTGGAGAGGTAGATGTAAGAATTCTGGCCTTCCAGCACTGCCGTCAGCCTCACGGTCCAGGACAGACTGCAGGGGTGAAGGGGACGTGTGTAAGCTGAGAGCACATGCTTCATCTCAAGAAGCCAGCACAACCTGGTCAAGGGCCTTTTGCCTTGTGGATATGCAAGCTCCATAGGATCAGGTATGAATTTCCTTTTTTTTCCCCAAGAAAAGCTAGACATCTAAATTTTATTCTGAATGGGCAAGATTTTCAAATACTGAGCACCAAACAGGTTGGCAGGTTTTATGCGGCCCCAAAACCACCACATTGCAACTTCTAAAGTTTCTCCTTGGAGACAATCTTAGGAAAACAGCTCCTTTCCTCTTTCTCCACCAGCCAGTGATTCTCTTGAGAACTGCCTATCCCAGGAGTCCTGACTTGAGATGAAGCCAGCTTGGAAAGATGGAGGGATGAGGAGACAGCTGAGCGGGAAGAGCTTGGAAGTCACCAGAACTCAAATCTTTCTGCAACTTCTTGGTAGAACAGCTAATCTTTATAGAGGTAAAAAACTAGTTCTGTAACAGCCACATACCCTGAAGATGTCGTCTTCGGAGGCAGCAGACACGGCCTCCTTCATGGCCTTGTCTAGCTCCTCCTCGGCTGTCAGATCTCCAGAGATGGCCCTGCGGATCTCAGGCCCAAGGTCATGCAGCGTGCGCAGTCCAGCCTGGAACCAGAGAACAAGTGAAGACCCTGGTCCTTTCCTACACAGCTCCCACCCAGCCATCAGCCAGAGCCAGGGGCTGCTCCTCCAGAAGCCGAGTGCTCCCAGCCCCCGCCACTTCTGCTTCACTTCTCTGAAAAGGAAGGCGTCTAAGGAAGATATGTCTGTCCATATAACCAGGCAGAGTAGTTCTCTGGAAATCCATTTATCCATGTTGGAGGAACAATAGCTAAGAGCTATGTGTGTTGACATTAGGAATCAGGAGTTGCCATGGGAACGTCGACTGTGGAGAGGTGAGCCTGTGCAAAAGGTGGCCGGAGGGGAAGGGACATGTAATTGAAGGCTACAGCAGAAACCCCACTTTTTTTATAAACCCCTATTAATGCTAGAGGCAGAAGCCGGCCATAAAAATCCTTAGCTTAGGGCAAACACGAATGCCCCAGGTAAAGCCTGGTCTGTCCTTGAAAAGTAAGAAATTAACTAGTGTCTACGTGACATAAAAGAAGTAAAGGCAGGCAAAGTAGCCAGTCCACCAAAAGTCAACCCACCAACCATGATCGCAGTCCCCCTGCCCTAACAGGGGCACTCAAAAGAGCTATAAAAGCAAGTGGGAGTGTAAAATGGTGCAACCACTGTGGAAAGCATTGTGGCGCTTTCTCAAAAAGTTGCAAATAAAGATACCATTTGACCCAGCAATTC